TATAACAAACTATAACACATAGACTCGCGTCATGCAACGGTGGTACCGTCGGAAACTACCACGGAAGGAAGGTCTTTCAGCCTGTATTTTTGCAAAAACCTCCTCTAGGTAATCGAACACGTAGGAGTAATCAATCCAAGACCTGTATGGAAATGGCGAGGAATGACTGAGAGTGGTGTAATCTCATGGAACAACACCAAAGGAGACTATGGTTGTAGCGAAAAAACAGCAATGAACTTGGACTAGGCTGGATTTAGCATTAAGTATTAGAGGCTTTCTTAGATAACAGCCAGTGCTCTTTTGCGTATGCATCTCCCACAGATACCACATGGAAAAGCGAGGAAAATGAAATCATCAACAAAATACAGATGTTCGATGCATGACTGCGAATTTGAACACCTGCTTTCATGATGCAACAAGGCAGCAATGAATCGCCAAAGAGGACGCGTGCAAGGTACCAGAGAAGGCCAGAGATCATCCGAGAACTTTCAAAAATAAAACTAGAATCTTTAAATACAGATGCGAGCTTGGGAATGGGAAATACAGAAGGAAATAAAAAATATGTAAAAAAAACGGAAAAGAATGGAAATTATTTTGACCGTTTTTGACTCGAGCGAGATTAGCTTTTCACAATGCTTTAAAAACGGTGTACCATATATGAAGGAGAAAAGATCGGGCGTAGAAAGGTACAATATGTGCAAAATTCGATAATGAAGGAGCATATTTAGCACTGCAATATACAAACATTGATGAGGACGACGATGCCAAATACCAACATAGCGTCGAAAGTGCTCAAACAAGGTCGAGCGCTGTGAAGAAAAAACAGAAAAAACAACCACAGGAAGGACTTTCTTTGGAGAAGGTCACATTCATTCAAGTAACCGGTCAGTATTGGAAGCGTGAGAAGAGCGGTAGGCTTTCAATCAAATCTAGGCTACACGGAAAGGGATCAGTACATGAAAGGGCAGCCCCTGTGTAAGAATTTCACCCGATCATGCTCACTCAGCACTAAACTAAAGTATATAGTAATCTAGGCAGATAGCTGTAAGCAGGACCCACATGCATTATACTGAAACTTACAGCATGACAAAATATGGAACGAGAGTTATGAAAATGTACGCTATGGCTTGGAATATGGCCTAGCTGTTGCAGTCACTTCGACCGAATTGGAGCATGGGGAGAAAGAACCGCTCCATTTCAAGACAAATATATTGTTTACCATTTGTCACAGAAAATGTTCAAAAACAGATTCCTTACATCATTAATGGAAGCAGAAAAATTTAATTCCCTAAAAAGAACAGTAAGAACACTAAGAAATTTGAATATTGGGCCCTAAACTGTACCGAATAACGTGGTCAAGCCAACTTCTACTACTTGCGAACATTGTATTTCTGCCTGTTCGCCCTGAGTATCAACCGTTCTGGTTGAGCGAAATTTTGGTCTCTGTAAAGAATGAAGTAGGCAAGTTTATATTAGGTAAATTTGAAAGCCCCAACCCTACTGTTACGAACGATGGTATCCGACTGCAACTTTTCTTTTGAAAGTACTTCAAGCACATAAGGTCACGCACGTGGCATGAGTATTGAAGCGAGAAGAGTATACTGGTCAATTTTTGATTGTGAGCAAAATATAAAAGCGACCAAACCCACAGTTGAGAAGCAGAAAATTGAGCCCATCAATGAGAGGAAAAAGGCAAATACTCGTTGTGTGCGCGTCAATCCAAAGAAGCTTTCATCTCCAGATGAAAACCATCCTCCATTTTTTCTAAACAAACTCAAATCGTACATAAGCGCATTGTCAAGAAATGGAACGTTGAGCAACCTATTTTTCGTATTCGGCAGTTGTCCATCTCCACCCAGCTCACCCGTCAGCGACTCTGAATCGGCCGTCTCCGAACGTGAGAGTAGAGGCAACCCGCTTCAAAAAAAATCATTACAAGCACTGCTTTAATGAAAAAAATCAAAATTCTATGAATGGCTTCCACAAAACTCACCTTAAGGAAGAAGTGAGTTTGCTCCTCAAATCACTAAATGAGCTGAACGAAGAAGAACTGATCCCACCACTCAATGCACTTCCACCTGCCTTTTTCTTTTGCTCATTTACGAACGCTTCGAGGGCTGACATAAGCCCTAAAATCATCACCAATACAGAAACATTGAGATTACAAGAGTAGCGCAAGTTGTGATACAAGCAAAAGTTATAAGTAGTAATGAGGAACACACTTTCAAATTATCACTTGAACACTGAATAATGCTGATGTTTTATTCATCTACGATATATGCTACAAAACTATAAAAATCGTGATTTAATGGTGGGCATCCCACGAAGTCGTGCCATGTTTATAGTAGGAGTATCCTTCCTCTACGGCGATCATCGCCACAGCAATACCAACACCGATTTTCCATCCAGGAGAACAGCTGAAACAAGATCATATTCTAGTCTAGTACATACAACATTAAATATTGCAATAAGGTGCAATAAAAATGTAGGAATACGCCATTTAAGCTAGCTGTTCTGTCCATAAAACAGCTTTAAATTGATAAGCCTACGAGAATCTTATCAGAACTGAGCACATTACCGCTGCATCATCTATCGAAACAAGAAGATAAAAAAGATCGAATTTGCAAAAAACATTGCATTCAATATTCGCCAGAACGCCTTTCAACTCTCCTGGCATGCCGGCGAATCTCACTAATTTCAACCTCGTTTCTTCAACAGAAAACATAAAACACTTCTCACTGATCATGAACTGAATAAAAAACTCCTAATCCAATATACATGCCGTAAGGCTAGACAGAGTATTACAAGAGTTTCATTCAGGAAAAAGAATTTCAACTTACAGCTGCCCTCAATAATGTATCGAAACAAATAAGTCGTGTAAAATAAAAATACCTGCCACATATCAGGCAAATGAAAAGGGAAGAAAACGGTAAACGCCTGAGAGAAGAAGTTAAATGAGATGAGTTAATACAAGAAAACTTCAACAAAGCACAGTGGCCTATCGAAAAGCCATGTACCAACAAAGAAAGTATCATATTCAGAAGAAAACAAAACAAAGCTTTTCAGACCTAAGACTTGATTGAATCAGGTCTACCCTTTCAAATGTAACCTGTGGAGGTATCAATGAGGGGACCACTTTCCCGCTATAAGAAAATTAGTTCTTATAAGCTATTTTCCTCTTAGCTCATCGAAAAAACGCCGTAGGCTGGTGTCAGTCGCGATCCGTCGCAGGTTTCGCTGATTTTCGCGATTTGCGCGAAACCTGCGACGGATCGCAAAAATTGCAAGTGCCCCATTTGAACATTTGAAACACTGAATATGAAACAAGTGGAATCATGAGCAGTCGTCATTCAGCCATCACTATCAAGCAGAAGTGGCGGCAGGATTGGAGAACACCTTGCAGTATTGATCGGGCACTTGTGATTTCCGTGACCCGTCGCGTGAATCGCGCAAATCGCGAAAATCAGCCCTGCGACGGATCGCGGACTCTGACACCAGCCGTACTCGTTTGCATTTCCCTCCTATCTTTCTCTTTTTCTCTGTCGCGCATCTTCCGCTCGAGAATATTCGCTAATCTACCGTCTACCATTGATGCGGGAACAAAAGGAGAAACAAAGACTTCTTCGTATCCGGGAGTCATTACATCTTGGGACGAGAAAAATGTGGGATGAATTGAGCATGATCCTGCTCCATGTGCCCGCCTGAAGCAACATGTGCACAACGCGAGCTACACTGAAACTGGTAGCGGCTTCATTCCCTTACCCGAACACTAGCTATTCCCATGAAAAAGATACATTTCGTCAACTCTAGCCCTAAATAACTCCACTTACTTCCTTTCATACGTATTTTTCACCAACAGAGTCCATTCCTATCCCATCCTCCACAAACCTAGCCCCGAAGCGCAATATGCGTAGAGCTTGATCGAGAAAAAAAGCCGTAAATCTCACCGATTGTAACTACTAATTCCGCTAAAAGGTATACCACAACATGTCCCAAAAAGGCATAACAAAGAATGATATAAGAATCTCGTGACGGAATAAATATGAACGAGGATAAAAATGGACAAGGAAAAAGCTCACTCTTTTGAAATGATTCCATTGTCCACGGACGTGAGGCATATCACGATCGAATAGAAAGACATAATTCCTGAGAATAAAAATATTTACGTGCAATAAGAACGCATAGCATAGCATTATACATTACACATACACAGAACTTCCTACAGTTGAATATTTCAGATGATTCGTATACCACAAAAAGTAGACACAAACCTAATCCAATTGTCCTTAAGGCCGATCTGCGCAAGCCGTTTTTCGTGAGCAGCTAATTCCGGAAACTCTCTATAGTTATTATACATAGAGTAATGCGGAATCTTGAAAGGTTCCTGGTGACCGTGACCCATCTGCAAAATTCAAAAATTGAACAGAAACACACTCGCATAGCATTACCTTCCCTTCTCAAAGAAAAGCAAATCAAAAAATTCGCCTGGTTCACGGAGTACAAAAAACGACGGATGACTAGTCGGGGAATTCCACGCAGGCGAGATCTACGTTGCATGCTAACAAATGTTCTCAATGTTCTCTTTGTGACATTGAAATAGACTCTCTGTCACCTCTGTTCAGAGTTGTAAAATGAAGAGATACCTCTATAAGGGAACATCAGCGAAGCACGCTTTCGAAAAGTTTGC